TACCAGCATAAGCTCCAAATAGATACATGACTTGGACATAAAAGATATCATAAATTAGAGGAGTAAGAAAGAAATTACTTTTCAGATTTGTTAATTGGGGAAGAATTCATGACCAAACATGGGATAGAGAAGATGACAGAAGATATAATGAACAGTTTTAATTATATGAAATTGAAAAGCTTTTGCACAAAACCAGTGCAGCTAAAAAAGTAGAAGGTAAATGAGTGGAGAAAAAATCTTTACAGTGGGTTTCTTATTTCCAAGATATAAAAGGACCTAATTCAACTTAATAAGAATAAAAGCTATTCCCCAGTTGAAAAATGGTGAAAGGATATGAATAGACAGTTATTGAAGGAAGAATTTCCAAATCATAATTACAGAAATGAAAATTAAAGTACCTCACACCCATCATCAGATTAGCAAACAAAAAAATTGGAGTAGCTGTGGGAAAACAGGCACATTAATATGACTGTTGGTAGAGCTATGAATTGGTCCAGTTTTCTGGAAAGCCATTTAGAAACATGCCCCAAAAGTAACTAAATTGTGATTACCCTTTGACCAAGAGATGCCACTACTAGACCTATCCCCCAAAGGGAACAAAGAAAGAGGCAAACACCTCATATATACAAAAATGTATCAGCTGTCTTTATGGTGGCAAAGACCTAGATATTAAGGGAGTGCCCATCCACTGTGGAATGGCTGAACAAATTATGGAATAGTATTATGAAATTACAGAATATTATTGAGCTGTAAGAAATTACTAAATAGTTTCAAAGAAACCTGGGATGACTTATATGAGCTGATGCAGAGTGAAGTGAGCAGAACTAGTAAAAAAAAACTATATAATAACATTTTAAAGAAAATTTCAAAAGATGTAATAACTCAATGAAATGACCAACCACAATTCCAGAGGACTAATGATGAAGGATGCTACCTACATAGTAAGAAAGGTGATGTATCCAAGGTATAGAGTAAGATAGATGGCTTATATTTGGGCACAGAAAATGCAGGAATTTGTTTTACTTGATGATCTATTTTTGTTAAAAAAAGGATTTGTTTTTTCTCTTTATCTTTTTATCCAATGGATAAATAAGTAGGAAAGAGAGATGATAAGGTAGAAGAAACAAACAGTAGTTGAATTTACTATATATTTAAAAGAAGAGTAAGTTGTACATAATAGAGACCCACAATTTCATGTACAATACTCTTTTGATTATATATACATATGCATATGGAAAAGTTCATTTTATTTGGTGTTAAGTTCAAAATAAAAAATAATGTAAAGTCCTCAAAGGTGGAGTCTGTTTTTCCTTTTGTCTTTGTATCCCCGAGGCTATTATGGCATCTTGTATAGGTGCTTAATAAGTGATCATTGAATTGGCTTTGAATGTCTGGTAGAAATAGGGTTGAATGTGCCCTTTACCCAGTCTGTACAATGCAATTCAGTACTTCCTTTCTAGATCCTATCAGGCCCTGATTTTCCTGTTTGTTTGAGGTGGTGGTGTGGGACTCTGATTAAAATACATGTCAATCTTTCAGCACAGTTTAGTTCTGATACATCATAGGCACTTATGCTTGTATCTTATTCTTCTACTACACTGTAACTCCCATGAGGGCAAACTTCATGTATTCCTCTGCAATGTTCTGAACACAATATACACTTTGTTGAAGGAGTAAATTGTAAGTAGATTGGTGGTTTGAGGATACAGTTTTATCCTGTACCTTCAGGATAAAGTTCACATCTCCAGACTGCCTCTTTAGTGGGTAATCTGCATAGTTCTGGTGCCAGTGGCCAGGGGAAGACTGGAAGTTGAACTGAATTTACTTACTCCAACCCAAATAATTAGGCTCGTGGGAGTTCCCAATAAGTAGGAAGCAAAGAAGTAAGAAGATTCCACGAGAAACTCTTTACTGTTCTTACTACATCTAGCTGTGGTCTTACTCACAAAAGAGCTAAAATATCTGTGAGGCAATGGTCTAGCTCAAAAGAGCTTTGGAAAAGAATCCATCCAACAGCTGCAGTTTAGCCAAAAAATAGATCATTGAAGCAGTTGAGTGGCAGAGATGGAGCAGAAAATGCTCTTTGGTAAATAGCAAGAACAGTTGCAAAGGCAAATTTTTGAACCCTAGCAGCATAAATTATTCCCTCTCCCATCCTAATAGTAATTTGTGGGAGAGTGAGGCCTTATATGGATCTGCAAAAGGGATATTTTTCCTGTTACATTGCTACTTTGTTTAATTAAATACTTTGCTTTGAATTAATGTGCTTTGTGATTTGGTAAAAGGAGAACAAAAGATGGGTGCTTGTGACCTGGACTTTTGAATAGCCGCCAGTCCAGAAAGTTTTTGAACTTGGCTTTCAAGGAACTAAGTGCAGCAGGGGGCCTGGACTACAGGATTTAAAATATGAATGAAATAAGCAAAGTTTTGATGGTATGGGTGAAAGGCCTGCCAGAAAGATGAGTGAAGTGCCGCCACAGAGGGCACTGGAAAGAAGTGGATACAACTTTTAAAGGGGCGTCGTGGAACTAAAGACAAACCATAGTTCTGAGGATAAACTTTGTTGTCGAGCTAACATCAGCGTTTCAGGCTCTGGTCAGCCTGTGTGGCTTGAGTCAGAATGTCCTATTTGAGTCAGAGTGGCCACCAAGACAAAAATAGTCTACCTTTTTTTTCCAAGTGGACCTGAATGGGGAACTACAGGGCCTTGGAAGACTGGAATACTTATGAACACAGTCAAAACATAAAATTGGTGGGAGTACAGGTGAGGGTGAGCACGGGAGCTGGAAGAGAAGGAGAGACAATTGGTGATAGTGGTGGAAAGAAGTTAAACACAAATCAAAGTATGTCTGGAAGAAAGGAACCTTGGGGGATTAAGATGTGCATATTCTATTGTCTGATAGAATATAAGCTTCTTGAGGGCAAGGATTTTTTCATTTTGATCTTTATCCCCAATGCATAGTATATAATGATAATAATTTTTGATTGATATGATGAAACAGTCATTCAAGAGGAATTCATTTTTATCTATTTTTGTTTCATCAAAGTCATCCCCTTCATTTTACAAGCAAAGGAAACTCAGGAGTAGGGAATAGTACCAGAGTCAAAATCACAGGGTCACTGATTTATAGCTGGAAGGGACATCAGAAGCCATCAGCTGCAACCCCTTTCATTTCACAGATGGGGCCACTAAGAGCTAGGGAACTAAAATGACTTGCCCTAGATCACACAGGGAGTAAGCATCAGAGGCAAGCTTTGAACTCAAATTCTCTCACAGCTAATCTAGCATTCTTTCCACTATACCACTTCTAACTACCTTTCCCCCTGCCCCCAAACAGTGGGGTTAAGTGACTTGCCCAGGGTCACACAGCTAGTAAGTGTCAAAGTGTCTGAGGCCAAATTTGAACTCAGGTCCTCCTGATTCCAGGGCTGGTGCTCTATTCACTTCGCCACCTAGCTGCCCCTCTAACTACCTTTTTAAAAAGAGTTGGGTAACTGTTCTCAAGTGCTCCTTGGCTCTGCATCATGATGCAATTGTCCCTAGGCTGTATACCAATGGGGGTCTAAATTCTGGCAAATCTTACCAAGCTGGAAAGGCTTCAAACATAGGCTGGGGTATAGTTGGACTGCTTAACCTCAGAGACAACCTAAGATCACATGACCAAGGCTGGCCATTGAGTGATTATGACCATAATAACTGATGAACACTTTCTACCAAGGAGTAGAGGATAAAATGAAATAATGTTCAAAGCATTTTGTGAACCATAAAGTGCTATATAAATGCTACCTTTGTTTTCCCATCTGTATGAATAGAGAAAATATCCATATGAGCAAACTCACAGATCCTTGAAGTATAACAAGCATTGTTTTTTATTATAGTGTTTTTCACTGCAAATGTACAATATATCACCTTCATTCTGGACCAAATACGTTTTTTTCTGAGCTAGTCTGGGAACTGAACTACAGGAGAAAGTGTGTTCTGAGTTTTTTCGTAGATTTTAGGGACTGCCTACATAAGACAGGATCCCTTCCTTTAAAGTGCTTACACCCTCATCAGGGTGACAAGATTACCATACACATGAAACCATTAGAGACCAAAACAAGAGAGTGTGAGGCAGACAATGAATGTGGAGTTCAGAAAAGGAACGAAGGAAAGAAATCAATGCCAGGTAGAGTACTCAAGCAAAGCTTCATGGAGGAGTTGACAAAAGTCAAGCCTTGAAGGACAGGGAAAAGTTGGATTGATTTTAGATAACAGTAGCTGACTGTACAGTACAACTTTCCTCCTTATTACCTCTACCCCAACCACTGAACTCAGTATATTAGGGATCTGAGAAAAGGTCTTGATTCATCCCAACCCCCATAAAAGACTCTTGGAGAAATACTCTTTATTTATATATACTTATGTACGTTATGTGTTGTTCCTTCTAATAGAATGTAAGCTTGTTGAGGGAAGATACCATTTCATTTTTGTCTATATCCCCAGAGCTTAGCCCAGTGCCTCAGACATAAATAGGTGTTTAATAATTGGGTATGGGTTGGACTAGTTAGCCGCTGAGGACTATTCTGACTCTCAATTCTGTGATTCTGTGATTAATTGAAGTAGGCCTTGGGTAGACCTTGTGAGCCTGACCTCTGTGCCTCAGTTTCCCCACTTGCTCAAAAAAGTGTCCTCTGCCTTTGCAGTTCAAATGATAGCTTCTGAGACACCTGACTCCAATGTAAAGGCCCTCTCTTCAAGGAACCGAGCCTCCTTTTCCTCGGGAGAAAGCTGGGCCTTAGGCTAATCCAGGAAGGTTAGTCCTAAAGGCAGAGACATCGAGATAGAGAAAGACAAGAGAATGGGGTTTTGTGTGCACGTCTATGTGTGGTTTGTTTTTTGGCCGAAGCTAGTGCGGCGGAGGGGAGGGGGGGTGCTTGTTGAGGGACGGGGTGGGGCCTTTTTTTGGAGGGGGGGCATTGCTGGCCAGGGTGGAGTGGGGGTGGCGGGGGGCGGAAGAGAGGTTGCTGCTGGCACAAGCTCAGGCGTGTCTGGCGGACAGCTCAAGTGGGACTTGGGGCCGGCTGAGCCTCGCAAGGAACCCCAGCTCGGATTCTCGCCAAGATGGCGATAGAGGGGAGGGAGAGGCAACGGCAGCGGCCCCGGCCCCGACTCCGGCCCCCGAGGCCGCGCCCCCGGAGCTGCGGCTCCCTGGGCCAGTGACACTGTGTGCCCCTTCCCCGGCAGGCAGCGGCCGCGGCGCCCGGGGCTCCCTCCCATGGCGCAGGGAGACGCCCGTCGCAGCCTCTGGGTGCTCTCGCTGACCTTCTGCGCGCTGTCCGTGCACGGTAAGGAGTCCGAGGGCCGGCAGGACAGGGAGGGGGGAAGGGGACTGTGTGTGCCTGTGTGCTCGTGTGTGTGTGCCCGTGTGTGTGTGTGTGTGTGTGTGTGTGTGTGTGTGTGCGCGCGCGCGCGCGCTCCTTGGCGCCCGCTCGCCTGTGCCCCAGCGTGTGCCTGTGTCCCCAGGGTGTGCGCGGGTCTGTGCAGGAGATGCGTGGCTGTGTTTGGGGTGGGAGTGTGCCAGTGTTGTTTATGGTGCATGCTCACGTTTGTGGTGCGAGATTGGGTGGGGTGAGGTGCTGTGGGGTTGTCAGGTTTGGGGGGGAAGATCTTGCGGTTTATGAGGGTGTAGGGAGTTCTTCGACTTTGGGGTGTCCGTGGTGGGGGGCGTGTGTGGCGGGAGTAGGTTCAGGGGTACAGACTGAAGATTGGAGGTGGCTGCCGTGGAGGGACTGTGGGGCTGCTGGGTTATGGGGTACGGTGAAAATGACGCATATCTTATTCCAGTGCAGGCAATCTCTTGAAGGTTTGGGGAGAGATAGTGTCCCGAGCTCAAAATTATTGCTCAGAGGCAAGCAGTTGGGAGGGGGAAAGAGTAGTGAAACTGTGTCCAGATTTTGGGCAGAGAGAGGACGGGAAAGAGGGGAAGGCAGAGAGAGAGAGAGAGAGAGAGAGAGAGAGTGTGTGTGTGTGTGTGTGTGTGTGTGTGTGTGTGTGTGTAAAACCCTGCTGTGGGTGTGAGGTACACACATACACACCCACACACCCCTCCCTCCCACTGAGTATTGTGGAATAGACCTTCCCCTCCCACTCCCATCCTACTCCCGCGCCAACGGAGCTAGAGGACCGAAGCGTGTCAGAACAGTCCGAAGGAGGAAGTTTTGGGGGCCACCAGGGCCCCTAAGGGGGCAGCTGAGCTAGGACTCATTTCCGTTATCCCTGATCCGGGTTCTGCCGTGACCGTGCAATCTTGTGCCTAGTTACTGTCCTTTAGTTTGGGGGTTGGGGGTGTCCAGGCTGAGCCGCCGGAGGAGGGAAGGAGTTGAGCGGGCTGGCTTTGTTTGCTCCTTACTTGAGGGGGGCGGGGAGCGATGTGTATGGAAGAGGGCCGAGAGTGGGGGGGAAGAAGGGGCTCTCTCCAGCTGCCTTGGCTTTCCAGCTGGATTCAGAGTCCCCTAGCCACAGACCATGTGGTGCTGTTGGGAGGTGGGGCAGTAGAGGGAGGAATAGGGGCTTGCTAGAGCATAAGAACCTTTCAGACCTAGTGATCCTTTGGAAAGTTCACACATGTCCCTCTAATCCTTCCCCTCCACACACACACACACACACACACACACACACACACACACACACCCTCACCCCAGTGTAACTTTGACCATTACTAGGGGTTCAGGGAAGAGCAGCAGATCCCTTACTATTAGCCTTTTAGCCTCCCCAGCCTGACTGATGGGGTCTATTGTACCAAAAAAAAAAAGGCTTTGAGCAGAAGGGTGGTAGAAGGAGAGGCTGATGAAAAGTGGGGCATCAGAGGGCATATGACTTGCCACATATACTCTGCTCCCCCAATCGAAACCTGTAGAAGCAAACCTGCCCTCTTTCGAGATGTGGGCGCACAACTTGTCCTATTTTCCCTTTCCACCACCCTAACCTGGGTCATTTAAAACCCAGTGGAGATTACTCTTAGAATCGTAGGAACATAAATTGAGAGTCAAAAGAGATTGTAGAAGACATCTGGTCCACACACTTCATTCTACAGATGATAAAACTGAGTTCCAAAAAAGTGAAATGGTTTGCTCGAGATCATCCCATAAGAAATGGAGGCTCTAACATTAGAATTCAGGTCCTTGCACTTCCAAACTCAGCACCCTTTCCCCAGAACTCCCATCTATGCGTCACTTTCCCATTCAAAAACCTTCAATGGTTTTCCATTACTCACAGCATAAAGTCCAAAGTCCTTTGAATGTCACCTCCCGTATTTAATAGCTCAATGACCATGGGCCAGTTGTGTATCTTCTCTGGGTCTCAGTTTCCTGATCTAAGAAATAGTGACAGCAGTACCTACCTCACAAGATTGTTGACAGAATTAAATGGGATGATGCATGTAAAATGCTTTGCAAACTTTAAAGCGCCATATAAATAAATACAGCTGCTACCACTGCTGCTACTCAGCCTGGCGTTTGAGACTTTCTATAAATCTGCCTCCTCCTTCAGACTTATCTCCTCCTGCTGCCTCTACATAAATCCAGCTAAATTCAGCAAACATTTATTAGGTGCAAACTATGTGCAAGGCATTGTGCTAAAGGTAAGGGTGGCAAAGACAAATATACACACACACACACACACACACATATTGCAAGTTCTTGCCCTCAAAGAGTTTACGTTTTACTGGGAGAATATACAGAGCTATATATTATTATATTAGCTATATAGAGCTAACAGACTCTAATCAAGCTGTATAACGATCCGAGATATCTTCTGACTATTTCTGCTCATGTGTGCCTTGCAGATGATGTACCCCATCTAAAATGTCTGTTACCTAGCTTGTCTCAATTCCCAGCATGATACTACTCTCCTCAACTAAATTAAACTAAGCCCTACACCTTGTTTTCTTTGCCTTTTCTTAGAATCCCACCCCCATCCACAGTTTTTACTCTTCCCTATCCTTCAAAGCCCACCTCAAAATAGCATCCTCCAGGAAGCCTTGGGATCTCTCTGCTGCTAGTGATCTTCCCCTCATAGACCTTTGGAAGTACTTGGATTGTACCTCTCATGAACATCTTATGTATTATTTTATATTTGTGTCATGTCTTCCTGTTCCAGGAATTCTTAACCTGGGATCCATGAACTTGTTATTTTTAATATTTTGATAACTGTATTTTTATATAATTGGTTTCCTTTTAATTCCTACCTACTTTGTTTTATGTGTTTGAAAACATGATTCTGAGAAGAGTTCTTCAGGAGTCACCAGGCTGCCGAAGAGGCCTATTACACAAATAAGGTTGAGTCCCTATACTAGACTTTAAGCTCTAAGAGGGGAAGGTGCGCGTTCTTATATGTCTTCTAGGGACTATCATAATGCTGTGAATACAGTAGGTACTTAATAAATGTTTGTTTCTGTTTCTTGGGATTTTATTCTGTGCCAAGTATTTGGTTGGGTTGAATGGAACAGTTTTTGGAGTATCTCGTTTGGGACCATGGTTCATGGGTTGAGATTGGTGTTGGGATGAGTCTTTATGAATCAGGATCACTTCCAGGAGAAGCTGGTTTAAGTAGGGGTCAGTGCCAGGGGGTGTCTCTTAATGAATAGCCTTTGTTCCCATATGTAGTTTTTAAAAAATTATTTTTATTCCAAATTTAAACACCAAATTATAATAGGCATTTCCTTTTGCGTAGTAGAATAATAACCAGGAAAAGAGGTTGCACATGAAATTGCAGATCTCTGTATTATGTGTGGTTTCATCTCTTGACCCTTCAGTCCTGGAACTGCTGGCTGTGAAGAGCTGGGCATTAACAGGATAGGAAGAATTCTTAGAGAATCTGTCTCTGGGCAGGGAGTGCACTGATCCTGCCTGCAGGTGTGGATCCTTCTCTCACTAGGGCTATACCCTTCCCTACTTCATCACAGTCATTACTTGTCTAGAAATAGATGGGAGGGGAATGTACTTCAGAAGAGTGTGTGTGTGTGTGTGTGTGTGTGTGTGTGTGTGTGTGTGTGTGTGTGTGTGTGTTGGGAGAGATAGGGGGGAGACATAAGCATGGACCACTGCACTGGAATGATTTCAAACTCAGTGTACTTTGTACTCTGTCCTGATGCCCTCTTACTCACTTGAAGCTCAAACATAAACCTTCAAAACACCCTTAGCTAGCGTAACTTGGGAGTTTAGAGGAGATAGAGAAGGTGGGTCAGTGGATAGGATATGAACAGGATGTCTTGAGTCATGTTCATCATCCCTGTGACCCAGTATCTTGGATCTGTCCACTTCTCACCTCCAAGTCTTTGAATAGGTAGTCCCATATACCTAGAATGTAGTCTCCCCTTTCCTTGGCTTCCTTCAGAGCACAGCCCAGGAGCCGAGTTCTAGATGAGGACTTTACTGCTCCACCTGCTTGTTAATAGTCTCTTTCTCTTGAAAGAATTTGAATTAATTTTGTGTATGCTTACTTATGAACAGGTTGTATCTTCTCCTTTCCTTCCCCTACCAACTTCTCATGAGAACTCCTTAAGGACAGGGCAGTGTCTTGCATATATTAAACCTTTTATAAATGTTTGTTACATAGAATGCCCATGCTAATTCTACTTATTAAGGGCTAAGAAACACGGTTGTTATCTCTAACACCAACCTCAGAGTTTGGGGACATCTCTCAGATATCTATAGCTTCCCTCAATAACAGATCAGACATTCAGGCATTGCTGACATAATTCACTTGAACGTTGGCAGAACAATTTCTCTGCAAGAGCCCTGTGAGATGTAGATTGTAAAAGCATCTCATTTTACAGAAGAGGAAACTGAGTCTCGGAGAAATATGACATACATTCATATAAACTAGTTATGAGCTGCTATACCAACATGACTCTTCACTCCAAGTCTAGAGTGCTTTCTACCATACCAAATAGCCTTTCCAGGAATTTAGCTAAATCATTCTTGACCCATCCATCTTTAATATAGACCATCCATCTCTTAACAGTTGATGTCTATTTCATCCATATATTTACTATATAATACTTTAGTTCTTCTGGTTTATCCAAAACTTGCCTCTTTCTGCCTTCAAAGCAGCTTATCCACCCAATGATTCTAGGACTTGGTGAAATAATTTCTATGTGCCCTTCATGAAAGGGGATAACACTGAACAGTTAATGCAGTTTGAGGAGGCCCAGTTTTTGTAGTCTGCCCTTCATGCCTTTGATAATTTTAGTTGCCCTTCTGTGGACCTCCTCCAGCTCTGTTACATTTGTATTTGAGGTGAGGAGAGCCAGATTTGCACATGGTAATCCAGATGTGGAGCAGAT